GGGTGGACGGCAGCCCCCAGGGCCCGGGGTGGGCGGACGGCAGCCCCCAGGACCCGGGGTGGGTGGACGGCAGCCCCCAGGGCCCGGGGTGGGCGGACGGCAGCCCCCAGGGCTCAGATGTGTCCTCAGGGCTCTGGACCACACACCTTGCTGTGCGCATAGACCACCGAGCCCAGCAGCTTCCAGGTGCCCCCCCTCCGGTCCATGCGGATCATGCGCAGGATCTGCAGGAAGCGCAGGCTCCGGAGCGCAGAGGTGGCGAAGACATTCCCCTGGGAGCCAGCAGCCAGCACAGCGATGGAGGCAATGAGCACCATGATGTCTGCAGAGAAGGGGCCGGGCTTGTGAGGGGAAGGCGCCTCCACTGCCCGGCAGAAGGGGCGGGATGGCCAGGGTTCCAGCAAGAGGGACGGCCGGCCTGGCCAGGCCTGCAGCACGCTGCCCTACTAGATGGTCGCCGCCCATAGGGTCCAGAACCAGCTGCTCAGCACTTGGTCCCTCCAACAGCTAGGCCACATTTGCCAGGGGAGAGGTGAGGTGAAACTTCCAGAAGGAGCAGGGACTTTCCCTCTCTCCCAACCATGGTGGCCTACACAAAGGCCAGCTCCTGCCCCACCCCACCCCCCGGCGTCCACCCCCCCCCAGCCTCACCAATCACACAGAAGGGCTTTCTGGCAAACTTGAGCCTCCCCCTCCAGCCTCGGTACCGGCAACAGCAGCCAGCCGCCCAGATCCTCACAAAGTACTCCACACCAAATACCACGATGGTCACGATTTCCTACGGGGGTGGGGGGTGGGGAGGGTACAGCTGAGGCCTAGTGGGGTTCCCGTGTGGGGTTCCCAGCTCAGGGACAGAGCCTCGGGCCACAGGGTCCCCAGCTCCAGCCAGTGGAGCAGCAGGGGCCAGGCCCTCCCTGCAGAGCCAGCCCTGGAACCTGGCCAAGTCAGGGCCTGAACCACCCACCTCCCTGAACCTCCCTCTCTTGTGGTTCAGCCTGGTCTGAGAGTGGGGGTCTGCTTGTCCAACTGGGGGGTACTTCTCATTTGGAGGAGTCTGTCCTTTCTAACCGCGGGCAGGGGTGAGCTGAGGGTGGGAACTCTGCAGGGGAGGGGAGGGAGGG